GGAGGAGGAGGAGAGGAGGAGGAGGAGGAGGAGGAGGAGGAGGAGAGGGAGGAGAAGAAGAGGAGGAGGAGGAGGAGGAGGAGGAAGAAAAGAACGCAAGCCGATGGCTAAGAGAGGACTAGAAGAGGAGGAGGAGGAGGTAGAAGAAGAAGAAGAAGCAGCGGAGGACGGCTGTGGCTAACGGGTGAGGAGAGTGACCACGAAGAAGAAGAAGAAGAAGAAGAAGAAGAAGAAGAAGAAGAAGAAGAAGAAGAAGAAGAAGAAGAAGAAACAAACCTGGGGGTGTGATGGAGTGGCTCGTTGGCGGGGGGGCGTGATGGCGCGGCTGGCTGGCGGAGGCAACGATGGTGATGCTGCACGCCGCGGAGACCTACAGACGATGGCGCGGCTGCACCGAGTGATGGCACGGCTGGTTGGCGGTGGTGACGATGGCACGGCTGGCTGTCGGAGGCGACGACGGAGCGGAGCGGCTGCACAGACTGGAGGTGAGCGGGTTGAACGCTCGATGCGTTTTCCCCCGCTGCGCGATCGGTTTCCCGCCACATCGGATTCAAAAAAGTGGCCGATCTTTGCCGCTGATCTACGACGATCTGCGGCCAAGATTGGCCACTTTTTGGAGTTCGAAAACGCAGGCCTACACGACCCGGTTTCGTTATTTCGGGGCAGGGCCCGCCCCCACGACGCCTCCTTGACACGTACGCTCGCCAAAATTAAAAATCCGGGCCCCAGCAAAAATGCGCTTGGGGCAACCGGAAGGGAACCGGCCCGGGCCACCGGCCGGTCCGACCGGTCCGACCGCGGATGGGGTAAAGGTCCCCGGATGGAGCCCTGGCCTGAACACAGATTGAAAAGATGAAGCATCATAAAGGATTAATTAATTAGTGATTAAATAACTAAGAATTTTGGGTATTAAAAAAACCCATTCAGGTTAGTTTATCGCGCAGATCTAAGATTTGAAGGTACAAATGATCGGGAATATATCAGGAAAATATCAGAATTTTAGTTGGGATCTTACTTTGAAAATGATAATTACGAAACTGACGCTGATATCCAAAAGGTGGTGAAAAGATTGTCTGGTAGTTAATTAGATAAGAAAATATACTAAGAAAATTTAATTCTGAGTTATAAGTGGCTAAAAATCAAGCAAAAGAACTCAACTAAAAGGAATAAAACTTGATGAGAATTTCACTAAGAATATTACTGAGGGACAAGATTCGTGGGAAAGGAATAACCTATCGATAAAAAAAGAAATGCGTGAGACATTCCCCCACTCTCCTCCCCCCTTCTAGCCCTATTTCCTTACCTCCCTATGCCCCCACCTTCCTTCCCCTTATCCCCCTCCTTTTCCCCCTTACCTTCCCCCACCCTTTCCCCTGTCACTTCATTCACCACCCTGTAGCCAGCACGCAGTAGCCCGCCACTCAGCCAGCGCCTAGCACCCAGCCACACAGCAGTTAGCGCCCAGCAGCCCACCACGCAGCCACTGCCCAGCAGCCCACCTCGTATCCAGCACCCAGCAACCTGCCACGCACCCAGCGTCCAGCAGCCCGCCACGCAGCCAGCGCCCAGCACCTAGCAAGCAGACATCCCACTAAGCTGTGTGCAGACTCCCACTAATCAAAACCACAAACTGGAAAGGATGGAGGCAGCAAGAGAAAAAGGAGAGAAGAGAGAGAGATGATTAAAGAAGCGAAGATGGAGGGTAAGGAGGAGGAGAGAAGAATAAACATAGAAAAAAAGCAGGAACAGAGAATGAATCATGGAGAAGAATCCCGCCCCCACCACAAACAAACATCTTATGCTCACTCACCTCGGTAATGCGGAAGATGGTGATGATGATATGACTGATGAAAACGACCTCTGAGATGATGATTATGACGTGACTGATGAAAACGACCTCCGAGATGATGATGATGATATGGCTAATGGAAACAACCACCAATGATGATACAGTGCTACCATTATCGTGACTCCATCGACGATAGTGATAACGGAAAAGATGTCGATGAAGATGATCCTTAATGCAGACACCAGTGATAAAGAGGAAAGACCACGTTGACGAGCCGATGGTAACAGTCCCAGAGTCGACACAGCATCCTCACGTCGCTTGAAGACTCCGCACTCGCTATTTCCTGTCGATCCTCCTCCCACTCCTCGTTATCTCCCTCTTCTCTTCTCCCCTCACGGAAGCCGACCTCCCTCCACTATTAACCCGCGAATGAGGAATGAGAGAGATTAATCAAGAAGCTTTGCTCTCAAAAGAAAACAAGCTCCCCTCCATACGGCACGCTAACCTGCAGCATTGCCCGAATGAAGCGTGAAGCGGTGAGATGGCACATCCGTGCTTTCAAAAGACGGGAAAAACAAAGTACCATTATTATTACCATGCCATCGTCATGTAGCCCCCTATAATTCTTGTGACTAGCCAACGCCCGCCCCAGTTATAGAAGATGAAGATGCCACCTCAGCACTGACATGGCAGCCTGGCCAGTCAGCATGTGCACAACCACATGCCACCCTCCACGCCCGCTCAAGTGCCAGCAGCGCACGCATGCTCCCCCAGCATTGCCCGCACGAGCACCAACGTCCACCGCAGGATCCACTGGAAGCCCGCACCCATTCCGCCTGCAGCCCACGCTTACCCCACCAAGCACGCCCACATGCAATGCCAGATGCGCGCTCCCTCGACGCCCACCCACTGCGCCAGCGTGCCCACCAGTAGCGACCGCACGCCCGTTCCGATGCCCGCGCCCACATGACCAGCAAAGCACGAGACGCACGAGCAGCGCTTGAGCGATCCACCAGCAGCGCCTCCGACATCCCCGTCCCCTGCTGGCGGCCTTCCATCCTCCTGTTTGTCCACTGCGCCAGCGCGCCCCACACTTACAGATCTTTGCAAAAATTTTGGCGGCCTGCAACAATCATCAAATATGTATTTGCTTTGTTTGTTTTGGTGTCATCTTATATCCACTAATGAATCAAATCAATGTGGAAAAGAAGTCACCCATCTGCCTTCCGTCCCCAGCTTGGCAAAGGACTCATGAAGTGGGGGATGGGCAGCCTTCTGGATGGTAGTGTCCAAAGCCAACACTCTCCCACACACCATGCGCAGCCCTCTCACACGCGCACTCACACCCGTGTTGGCTGAAGACCTTACTGATACCGACTGGGAGGATCCAGCTCACTATCTCAGCTGGATGGCACCAAGAGTGCCACAGGCAGCCGTGCGGATTGAACTCACAACCTCCTGAATGCCACTTGTGTGCCTCACCAATTGAACTAGGACACTGGATGGAGCCCAGATTCTTCTATCACAACCTGCCAGTGGACCCGAGAAATTGGGAATGGGACCATCCGCTTAAAAGCCGGGCTCACATCCCGCTGCATGAGTATTCAGTCAGAATGGGGTACCAAATTGCCAGCCCTAAACTGGACGTGAACTGGATTGTGGCCAGGCGATGGCTGGCTACAAACTGGGTAATGGACTCTTTACCAAGACTGGCAGCAGCATTGCCAGCCTTCTGGAAACTGCTAATGGACCTATCAGTTGTGAAACATTCAGGACTTCTTTGGCTAATTGCTCACCAAGCTTTACCCACTGCGATGTGGTGCGCCAAAAGAACGCATAAGGCTTCGCCTCGATGTGCATTGTGTCCGGGTATGATGCTGGAAGATCTGCAACACTTCTGTCTGTTTTGTGAACTAGCCCGCCCCCTGTGGGACTGGTGGAGAAGCCCTTCGGTACAGATAACAGCAGCAGCTGAAAGATGGACAGATGAGTTTGTATTGATGGGCGCAGCATCGAGACGCACACAGGTGCCAGGACGGCTTGGTTATGCAGAGGAAACATTGAGAGCAGCCATCCTTTGGGCACTTTGGACGCTGCGAAACTCGGCGACTAGAAGGGGTGAGAGATGTACACGTTCAATGGTCCGGGCAGAAACCAAGTACTTCATCAAACAGGCGATTCACACAGACTGGACTTACAAAGTGCAGAACAAAGGGTTCTCAACCAAAGCGACAAGGCGTTTTGTTACAAGATGGATGGCCTTCCCGGGCCTGCTGACAGTCCAACAGCAACCAATGATGCGCCCGGAATTGACATTCTCTGCCTTCTTCCTTTAAAAACCTTGCCTTTCCCGTTTGACCGACAACCTGTGTGGGGCTTCACTGTTGTGGACATGGGGTTGGGTTCGGTTGTATTGGGAACGGAATAGCAGATTGCTGGACCTGCTTGTAAAATACGTGGTATGTGCTTAGTTTAGACTGTGGTTGTGTTGGGAACAGAATAGCAGATTCCTGGATCTGCTTGTAAAATACGTGGTGTGTGCTTAGTTTAGACTGTGCTATTGTTTCAGTGCCTGACTGATTGTGTGCGCTTAGTTTAGACTGTGCT